TATGCGTTAATTGGTTCGGTAACAGGGTTGTTGATTTGTGGAACCAATTACCGCGTAACGTGGTGGAGGTGGGGTCCCTCGATTGTTTCAAGCGTGGGTTGGACATGTATATGAGTGGGATTGGGTGGTTATAAATAGCTGCCTCGTATGGGCCAATAGGCCTTCTGCAGTTCCCTTTGTTCTTATGAATTAGCATAAGACTTTAGGGGGGATCCGGCGGAGCGCCCCCACATAAGACACGGTGTGCAGCAAGTTTATATATACAGCCCCGCTCCTGTGCCAGTTAAGTCCACTACGGGCTCGCCATAGCCCGTGCTACTTGCAACTTTTTGTTCCCAGTTGCTGAATCATAAACAATAACAATAAGCCAGTTATAAGAGTGCCCCCCCCCCCGGGGCCGGGCCTCTGTGCAGCAGCCCGGCCCCAGGGGCTGGTGGGTATCTGGGTCTTGGAGCGGCGGCCCTTGATGACCAACACACTAATTGAAGATTAAGCCACCCTAAAGGTGGCACGGGCATGAATAGCCCGTAAGTGGAGGCTCTTTCAAGCAAGTATAAATATGGTGTTTATCTGTGTGTGGCAGGGTGGCCTAAGTGGCCCTGCTGGTGGTGTGCAGCTTCCCGGCTTGCCGCCGCTGCCTTTGATAATTACTTACTTCTTGTATTCATCCAAATAACATGTTTTCTTCCCAGAGAAATTTCACTGGTTTTGTCAAGCGGTGTCCATGTTTCTCTATATGCACAACTGCATTCTATATTGCGACCCAGTACAGTAACAAGTCTCCTATATTATTATTTTTCTTGTACATATAAATGCATATTTTATAGATGAAATAGATTTAATTAAATATCTTAAGTTTTAGGAAGAATTGGGGGGCGGGGACAAATTTTGCATGAAATTCTAGCAAAACGTTAAATTTCAATAAAACTTCAGAGGGATGTATATTTATTTAAAACTTGGGACAAAAGAGGCACGCATGTTTCATGTTGAGCTTGTTCCACCTGTTTCATGTGAACCAAGAGTTTGACATTGGTAATGGATATCTTTTTTTTTTACTTGGCTGAAGGTGAAGTTCTACTTTAATTACAAATAGCAAAGGGGTGATTGTGCCACAAATGGCCTGGTAACAAGAGTACCGGCAGCCTGGTCAACTGCAGATTACTGAAACTTCACTGGCTTTAGTTTGTCACCATCCACTGAAGGGCAGTGACCTGCATTGTGATAAGCCCTGGAGCCAGAGTACAGGTACTTGGGCTGTCACCTGAATGGGGAAATGGTTTCATGAACACTCCTACTGGTCTCCTTAGCTGTTCCATTATTGCCGATTCCATTAATCCCAGCAACTCTTTCCCCCCCCCCCAATAAATAAAAAAGTTCCACTAGTCTTATCATCTTGAGCTAAAAATTTTCCATCTGATGCTGCAGACGTAGTTTTTATCTCCTACACAAAACGATATTACTTGTGCCTCATCTTAATTAACCCCTTTGTGACAAAGCAGAGACTCAGGTAATCTAGGCCCTTGTGGATGTGTTCAGGTAACCTAGGTTACCTAGCCTCCTCATACTCCCTTGCTCCATTGTACCCTGGCTTTGCCTGTGTCCTCTAGTGTAAACTATTATTCAGTGTACCTCAAAGTAATTTACCTAATTTTTTCTAGTGTAACTTCAATTTTACTAAGTTTTGTGTTCCAGTCAGTCACTTTGTTGAATCCCTTTTATACTTATCTATTGTCTAATTAATGTTTATTTCATTTTCACTTGTTCCTATTTTAATTTCTTTCTACTGTAGTTTTTTATAATGAACTGTTTTTTTTTTTAGTAACTATTCCAAATTTTCATTATTCCAAAGTTTTTTCCATATACCTTGCATCAAATTGTACCATTGCCTTTACCATCTAACAGCCGTCTTATGCAATCTAGTATAGGCCCAGACTGAACCTCTCAAGTATCTGACAATAATTACTTTATCAAAATTACAGATATTATACAGCACATGTTGTAAACAATGTAATAGCACAATCACACTGTTTCTGTAATTAACTTCAATGTAAGATCTCTAAGCAAACACTTTGATGATGATAATGCCCTATTGAAACAGTTCACGACAAATTTTCCTATTATCCTTACTGAAATGTGGTTAAAAGATGACACAGCACAACTCTTAAACATGCCAAACTGCTTGGAAATTCAAAACTGTCGACCAATTCGGAGTGGTGGTGGTACTGCTTTTTACCACCACTAAGAACAGACATGTTTAATAATGTCAGAGGCTGAAAGCACACCATCGTCATTGGATAGGAGTATCTTTTTTTTAATCCTAATACAGTATTTGGGAAATAATGCTCCATGTTTTCTTAATGTTCTTAATTTGGTCAAATTTATTTTCATAGTATTTAATTTTGGCTCTCCTAATTATTTTAGACAGCATTGATGAGTATCTCCTTGAAACTTCGTTGGAGATGACCCCTAACCTATACTTCTCATGGTCTTGTTTTTTATTACTAAAAGATTTAAGTATACCCTTAGTAAGCCATAGTTGTTTAACCTTTTAGTTGTGACTTGTTTTGTTAGCATTGGACAGTGGGTATTAGAGGTTCAGTTTTCTGAAGAAATGTTTACACCGCTAGGTTGATGTTCACTGTTATATTCAGTCTCCCAGATGATATTAGTGGCAGCAATAAAGGTGCTTATAGAAGTTTCATTGTGCAGCCTAAAGGTTATCTTTGTATCTAGAGGTGGTTTATTAATGTTAGAAGGAATGTGGGGTAATGGTCTGTGGTCCTATCAGTGATTATCCTTGAAGTGAGTGGAGAGGTTATTAGTCCAAATGTGGTCAAGAGTAGAGGCAGTCTTATCCGTAATTCTAGTCTCCAAAATCTGTACAACAGTTGATTGACAGGACCAGTAATGTTGAGAGGCAGGACCAAACAACTAAAGCTCAGCCCCCCACAAGCACAACTAAGTGAATACAGAAATTTCAGCAGATATATGGAAAAAGGCAAACATAGTGCCAATCTATAAAAATGGTTTTCGATAGGAACCTCTAAATTATAGACCCGTATCATTAACAAGCATGGTAGTCAAAACTAGAAAAAAATAGTTAAAGCCAAATGGGTTGAACACCCATTGATGACATAATAATGGTGATGACATAACGGACTGAGAGTATGGGTTTTAATCAGGAAGATCCTGTGTAACAAATCATTTTAGTTTTTATAATAGAGCCACAGAGATACTACAGGAAAGAGGTGACTGGGTTGACTGTGTCTATCCGGACCTAAAAAAGGTTTTTGAAAATCCCACACAAGAGGCTGTTCTGGAAACTGGAACATGCTGGAGGGGTGACAGGGAGACTTCTGACATGGATGAAAAATTTTCAAACTGATAGACAGATGAGGGGCAGTAATCAGACAATGTATCTGTACTACAATGTAAAAAGAGTACCACAGGGTTCAGTTCTTACACCAGTAATGTTCATCATCTACATAAAATATCTACCAGAAAGAATACAGAATTATATAAACATGTTTGTGGATGATGCTAAGATACTGGGGAAAATAAGAGATGATGACAATTGTAATGCTCTTGAAATTGATCTAGATAAATTAAGTACAGTACTGTACTGTACTTAGAGCGACAAGTGGCAAATGGAATTCAATGTGAATAATTGCCATGTTATGGAATGTGGAATTGGAGAAAATTGACCACACACAATTTACAAATTAAGTGGAAAAGAATTACAAAACTTACAAGATAAGAGACCTAGGGTGGTTTTGGATAGTAAGCCATCACCAGAGGAACACAAAACATATGATAGGAGCGTATGAGTCACTTTCTCCAACTTCAGACTTGCTTTTAATTATATGAATAGTGAAATACTAAAGTATTTCCAGTTCAGTTAAAAAAAAAAAGTTCAAAAGTTTGACTTTTGTGAGACCAAAATTTGAATATGCAGTTGTATGGTGCCCAAATCTCAAACCACATAAATAAACTGGAAAATGTGCAACGGCATGCTACAAAATAGTTTCCGGAACTGAAAAACAAAGAGTGTCGAGGAGAGACTGGAGGCGTTAAACATGCCAAAACTAGAAGATAGAGGAAAAAAAGGAGATATGATCACCACTTACAAAATACTAACAGGAATCAACCAAATTGACAAAGAAGAATTCCTGAGACCACCAACAAGAGGACACAGATTCAAGCTGAGGAAACAAAGGGTGCTGAAAGAATATTAGAAAGTTTTCTTTTGCAAACAGAGTGGTAGACAGTTGGAACAAGTTAAGTGAGGTGGTGGTAGAGGCCAAAGCTACCATTAGTTTCAAAGTGTTATACGACAAAGTACTGGGAAGACAGAACACCACGAGCGTAGCTCTCAGCCTGTAACTACACTTAGGTAGTAACTACACTTGGGTAATTACCTCAGGATCTATCCATGAATACAACAGATATACCCGGATAAACACCACACAGGTCTCGGGTAAGGAGTAAAACAACCTCTGGTGATGAATATAATTATTCTTAAGGGAAAATAAAAAGTATTGATGGTAAGGTATAACTGAGGATATATTGTGAACTAAAAGTCTCAAAACAGGTGCGCCTGTTCCAAAAGCTGTACCACATGGCCATGTGACTTAATACGTCTGAATGCCTATATGCCCCCTAAGCTGATGTATCCTAATTATAGGTCTCCTTATTACAAGCAAGATTCAACACCACTCAAATTTTATAGGAACTAACACGAGGTAGAAATTCTGTCATAGGGGTCCTTAGTTTTAAGTTTAATATTTGCAAGATGACATGCAGCAACCCTGCTATAGGCATATACTCTATATTCACTCTTAGCCCACAGCTTGAAACAATTTAAATATAATAACAAAAACCAGATATGATCACTCTAATATAATAACTTAAGTAGAAATATTTGTTAAATGCTGTATTTTGTACATAACACTGACAGAGTGAACCTTCACATACATACACAAGCATAATGAAAAGTGTGCTAGCAAGTGGGCTCAGAGAAAGTTTAATTTTTACTAAACAAAAGATGCTACATGTTTGTACAGAAAAAATGCAGAGTAAGCAATATACCAGAATCTCTTAACATAAGTACACAAGCGCATTACTGTTTATCATACAGTTTCTCAGAGAACATCTAAATTCCTTGAGAAGATTTTTAAAGCATACAATTATTTTGAGTTTACTAAATATTCTCTCTTTACGGAGAATATGGCATTTATTACAATATACAGTATTGGTTAGGTGTTACAAGTGTTTTTCATTAAGCAAGGAATATCCTTGAGCCTCACACTTTTTATATATTCCTCAGATCATCTGAGATTGTTAAAAGGTCATTATCTCAATTGGAAGTCTTTGAATCTAAATTTCTTAAAACCTAACTGCAATACTTCATAAGCTATTTATATGTAACACATTAATGTTGGTAACTTTGGCTTCGCAGGCACTGAAACATTGCTTGCGCATCAAATGGACAAATCCCAAATTTCCTAAATTGACTATTTACCTTGTCTGGTGTTGCCTGAGCAGTGAGACAACTGATCATAAATGGAGCGAAGTTCTCTTCTAAAAGAGGTTTAGAATTATTTCTAACACTCCACTCATAGAGAGCCTTTCCCCAACTGGTACGGAAATAGTCTGCCACAATCCATTCAGCGGGACTCAATATTGACGACATCATTTTGGGAACAGTGATCAACTGTATTCCTTGAACCATGAAGCTCTCGCTCATCTTCATCATTGGTATGTTAGACAGACATTCATTTGTGAAGAGAGCCACAGGGAAGTGAACATTTCTCTTCTTGAGCCAAGGTACAAATACATCACTGACAAATTCGGAGATGCAATCACTGTAGAGCCAGCCGTTCATTGATGACCCTAATACCCACTCTTTTCCTCCCTCGGTATTTCTAAGAGATGAAAATAGTTTTTCTGGCATTACCATCCTAGGAAAGATTATCATTCCAGGTCCTATCTGACCATCTGCACCTAATACAAATAACACGGTCACTGTGTCTTTTTCATTTGAGCACTGAACCATTCCAGGAAACATTCTATGATATTTAATTTCTCTCGTTTGCTTGTCCAGGAAGAAATTAAGTTCCTGCATATAAAACAGTCGACGTGGTGTCACTCCATAGAATTTAACCATGTCTCTTCTTAAGTTTATGAGCCACTCTCGTGTTTCATAATCTGTGGGTATTGGACTAGTTTTCACTTCATCTACTGTAGGCAGTCGATGTACATGAGTTTTATGAAAATCTTGGTACCACTTCATGGCCTCAGTTTTACAGCAAAAGGGCTTGTGCATTCCACGTGCCTGGAATAATTGCTCAACAGTCTTGGTTATACTGTTCATAGAGGATGGAAGTCCAATGTCTATGAGCTGCAAGACCAGAGCCTCAACCACAGCCATTATGCCAGGAACACCTGTGAAGAACAATAACATTAAAAACTTTCATAATAATAATAATAATAATAATGCGTAGAGAAATCACACTAACGTCATATACCTGGTCTATCAATGAGAAAATTAACTGGAGTTCTGAGGTGACTCGAACCCACGACCAAGAGAATCCCAGCCGCTGACACTACCTACCGAACCACCCTGACTTGGTAAAAGTCATACAACTGGATTTCTACTGAAATCACAAGTCTGGCCCCTCCCAGTTTCAGGAGGGGCCTTCAGACTTATATCACGAGCACTTAAACATAAATTACATAAAAAAGCACGAGTAATGCCAATTCATAAAGGAGGCAATCCAGCAGACAAACAATTACAGACCAATATCAAATCTACCTATACTGTCAAAAATATTTGAAAAAATTATTTACAAACAGCTCTACTCCTACCTCGTAAAATTCAACATACAGTACCAAGTCCCTGTCAGTTTGGCTTCTGCTCCCAAAAAGAGTACCAAAGATGCAATTATTAGTCTGATATAATCTACTCAGCCCTTGACAAAAATGAGTTTCCGATTGGACTCTTCATTGACCTGAGAAAGGCCTTTGATACTGTTAACAATAACTACCTCACAGCCATTCGTGGTTTAACTCGCTGACTTTCTGAGTGCCTTCCTCAGTGGTGGCATAAATGAATAACAATATGTATATGCCATGGCTCCCTTCACATCTGTGAGAGGACCAGGTTCTGACTCTGGGTCCCTGGTAGACCAGAAAACTATGGGACTGAATGCATCTAGTAGATGGCACCTACATCGGAGGTGGTAGCTTCAGGGAACCACAAGGGGCTACTACCCCCAGAAAAATAAACAATAAAGAAATCAGGTTAAATAAATATCTCTAGATCAAGTTACAAACCACAAATGTTATTACACACACAATATTTAAATTACATGACACAGTACCCACAGTAAATTAGTATTTTTTTACTTGAATTTCACATGTGAATGTTTATCAACTTACGTGGTTTGTGATGATGCAAATGTTCTGGTTCATCTGCACTCCACCCAATATCTGAAATTGAATTCCTGATCTTTATATCCTCGAAGCAGATACTAAAAATAACACAGTATTATATTACAGAATCTTTTTTATTGGCTCAGGGCTATATCAATTACATTCATTTATGGTTGGCAATATATGTAAACAGTGTAAAGTTTTGCAAGTCATCATAATCTTCTATAATCCCTTGTAATTGTTTGTAATCCTTTTTAATCTATATCTTATGCACTTGGTTGGTCAACCTGATCTTAATAGGTTGGCCTACCTGACCATGAAAGTTTGGTCTAATTGTTCTTCGAAGGTTGGTCTGATTGATCTTGATAGGTTGGCCTACCTAATCTTGATAGGTTGACATACCCGGTGAACCCAGGAGGAAACCCCTCACTCAGGAAAAACACACTGAATGCAGGCAGAGTTGATGAAAGTGGAGTTGAATATCTGGCAGGAGCAGTGGAAGCCTTGGATAGAAAAAATGTAGAAACAACCTCATCATTAGATACCTAGCAAAAGTAGAGAGTAAGAATGATCAGGAAATCGGTGAAGAAATGATAGTGAAACTGATAGGAGGCAAGAATGATCTTAGTCTGTCCAATGTGGAGAGGTTAGGTAAGCCCGAAGCAAGTACAGTATGAATACACTAAAAGATCTTGTCGGGTATGACTGTCTGTATCCATACAGCAAAAAACAACAGAGTACTAAGATGAAAGCTAAAGGAGTTAAGGAACTTAGAAGCATACAAAGATTCAAAGCTAGTGATCAGGAGAAGACAGGTGATCATGATCCTGTCCTCTCCTGGAGGAGAGGACATAGTCCTCCACCCAGCCAGGCAGAATTAACCCTATATATCTCGGAAGACGAACAGACACAAAACTGACGAACGAACAGTGACAACGAACAGCATAATAATGTACAGAATCTAGGAGCTATCACTCAGACCAACAGGAACAACGAAAGAAATTTAAAGTGCTTCTACACTAATGCCAGAAGCCTGGTGAATAAATGTGAAGCACTGTGTGTATATGCTGATGCAGAGACTCCAGACATCACTGGCATAAGTGAAACTTGGGGACATTATTGAAGGGAAATTCCTCCTCCTGGGTATAATCCACTGTTCAGAAAGGACAGAACATCAACATATATGCAGGTGGTGAATTGCTTTATGTGAAAGAGGACCTCAATGCAACCACCAATGAGGAACTGAACACCATGGGATCCTCAGTCATAATGGTACAATATAATAGCTCAACATGGTAACATACTGACAATGGGAGTATGTTACAGGGCTGACACAGCAACAGCAGAGGACGTTACTGATCTGCATAATGTGATCAATGTGGCATCACAAACACAAACTCTTATATTGGGCGATTTTAACCACGAGACAATAGATTGGGTAAATCTAACATCACAAGCAGGAGATTAATTTCTAGACCTGGTACAGGACTCATTTCTAATATAACATGTGGTTGAGCCCACTCCAGGTAACAGCATTCTGGACCTACAATCTTGAGCACCCAGTCCAACGACCAGGATGGCTCAAGCCGCTCATGAGCACGCCGGATTTGAAACAACACACGAGACAGCTTGTGGAACGGAGCAGAAGTAACATCCACCCAGAACGCAAGCTGAAGCTGCTTCACCAGCACTGCACATTACGAGGTGACAATATTCGGCATAAGATGACGGTCCCGAAACAACCAAGAAAGGACAAGACAACCCGATCCGAGACAGAAGAAAACCTACGGAGGGACAAGAAATAACGAAAGGACCGCCAGGAAACTTCATACTGCCGCCAAGACGAAGCACACAGTTGGGACACCATCAACAAAGCCACCTGCTCACCATACAAATGGTGATAGACTTGTGTCAGAAAAAGACCAGACGCGAAGACTGGAAGAGAAGATCGAACCAGCTACGTAACTGACTCAAGCAGGAGCTCAAGCAGGCTAAAAAAGGAGCACAATTGCTTCAAGCCGACTTCCCCCTTCCCAAGCCCTGGGAACCCTCAAACACAGATCCCGGGGCCGAGCCCTCTTCCACGCCCACCACCCCTGAAGAAAAGGCAAAGTCCAAGGAAGAAAAGCTTCTGAGAAGGGAGATGGGTGGGTTGACCCAGAAGCCTTGGCAGGAAAAACGAGTTCAACCACCTCCGTGCCCGAACTGGAAGGCACAGCCCCTGAAGCCACCCGAACCTCATCCCAAGCTAAACCCCACCCCGACTCCAAAACCCTCAGTTGTTTGGGAGTAGGAAGCCAGGAAAGAGGAGCAGGGTGAACCACACCCACACCTGGGAAGGAAGTGGGGACATGGACGGAACCATGGTCGAAGTGACCAATGCCCCCAAATCCTGGTGCCTTAAACCCATGAGGGGCAGCTCTGGGGCCTCTAATCAGGAAACCAACCTGGTGCATTGCAAGAAGGAGAATCGAGCATGCAACACAGCTGCCACCCGATTCCTGAGATGAGGAATGAGTAAATTGAAGTACAAGTGAAGAACAAGTCCCGCAAGACTCCGGGTCGTAGGTGTCCCCGACCCAACAGGCAGCACAACGGAGGCAGTATGGATGATCGTCACCCTGAGGCAGAGGCAACAAACAACCTTCAACTTCACACAAGGCGAGAGTGGACTTTGAAGAAGTATCCATGGTAAGATTAAGCTCACAGGGGGTCTTCCAGGACCCGTAGAGTAAATTAACCCTTACGGGAGCAGCAGTAAAACCTCGGGGGCAACAGAGGAGGACCACCAACACCACCTAGGCTAGCCTAATAAGTGGCTAGGCAGATCACCTCTGTCCACAAAAGGCAAAAACATAGGAAAAGGTAACTAAAGGCCCCCAAAGAAACACAACAAACAAACTGGCAGCCAGAGAGAAGCACCTGCTGCCGTATTAAAGGAAGACAGGCTGTGCCAGCTGCTGTGCTCCCCCCCCCCCTCCAGCCTTTAACACTCCCCCAGGGCAAGACGGAAAGCCCAAGACTGCCCCCCCCCCCCCGAGTATCCCGAGGGCGAAGACAACCTCGACCGATGAAGTCCTCTAGCAGGGAGTGATTCCCGAATGCCCCAGGAAAGATAATCCTGAGACGCAAGAGCAGTACTTACGGAGTGCCTAGGGAAGATCACTCTAGGCACATGCTACTTTGTGTACAAGAAGACACCTGGCTAACACGCACACACACTTCTGGTAAAGCCGAACAGGGCAAAATCCAAAACAAGAACTTGAGACCAGAGATGACCGAACTGAACGCCAGCACATGTGTTCAAGAACTGAGAGTGGTGGGCTGCTGGCTTTCCCCTTACAGGGAAGGGGGAAAGGGTTGAGCTAACGATCGAGAGTGCAAGATGCATGAAGTATTGCTTGTTTGGTGTCTTTCAAGGAAGGGGGGGGGGGTTATTTTGATCTTTTAGGATGTAGATTGTACTGGTTAACCAGACAGTGGTCTGTTTTGATTCGCCTTCCTTTCTGGGTCCTTTTCTGGTCGATGGCAATTATGACATACAGTATTTTAAATGTAAAGTGCTCATTAGGGGAGCAATAGGCCATTGCTCCTTGTGCCTCTCTGAGTGGACCAGGTTCTGGTTTATGGTTCCTGGTAAGCATAAGAACCCCTGTGACTGATGACCCCAAACTAATATAGCACATATCAGTTCAGATAGCTCAAGGGAGCCAACGGGGCTCCCAGCGGAAAAGTTTCTTTTTATGAAAAAAAGAAAAAGAAAAGCAGCAGCAGCAACAAGCACATGACAAACCTGCAGGACTGCGATTGTGATTTGAGTCTGGTGAACCTGCACGTGACGATGTTGGAGTTTGCAGACTAGGAACTGGAGACCCTTGCACACTTGGTGGTCGCTTTTGTATCACATCTTGACTCTGTGAACTGTGTGGTAAACTTGGCGGTAGCTCTTTTATCACAACTTGACCCTGCGAATTGTGTAGAAAACTTGGTGCTCGCTGTTCTACCTCAACTTGAGCCTGTGAACTATGGGGCAAACTTGGTGGTAGCTCTTTTATCACAACCTGACCCTGCGAAATTTGCAGTATACTGGGTGGTCGCTGTTCTATTACAGCTCGAGCTTGTGAACTGTGAGGCAAACTTGGGGGTAGTTCTTTTATCACAACTTGACCCTGCGAACTTTGCAGTATACTTGGTGGTCGCTGTTCTATCAGGACTTGAGCCTGTGAACTGTGGGGCAAACTTGGTGGTAGTTCTTTTATCACAATTTGACCCTGTGAACTGTACGGCAAACTTGGTGGTCGTTGTTCTATCATAACTTTGCCCTGTGAACTGTGTGGTAAATTTGTGGATTGTTTCTCCTTCACGACTTGACCCTGTGAATTTTGTGGCAGACTTAGTGGTTGTTGGTTCAGTGTGTCAGATCTTTGGGTTTCATTTAATACACGTAATGCCTGCTGGTTCATTTCTACCTGACCTTGGGAATTACAGGACCCACCTGGTGCCTGTTTACACAGTACAGAAAGTCCTTGTTTGCCTTGTGGCAGACCTGATGGCTGCTTGTTCAAAGTGGAAGAGCCTTGTTCACCTTGGGGTGTGGTGTTCAACTGGATCACTGTAATTGAACCTAATTTTGGTAACAAACAACTAAGACATAATAATATTTGACATTATATTTCATATAAAGTATTTCATGACTTCTTTAAGCAATGTTTAGTTTGCATATTTTATACGAGGGCCTGGCACTGTTCTGTCCATTGTAAATATCCATCTTTATTATTATTATTATTATTATTACAAGAAGGAGAATGATGAAAAAGATGAAAGGAATATTAAACATAAAGCATTAGAGAGTAGTGGTGAAGAAATAAGATGTAGAGTGGAGGGAGGTATGTGAAAGTGTGATGGGTGGAGTCGATTATTAGTTATGATATTCACAGCACGAGATAGAAAGACACAGCACCCAGCCATTGTTTCTTGCACCTACAGTACACATCATGAAACGACTTCATGTTTCTTCACAATATAACCTTGTGGAAATGGATTTATATTCAGGATTTTGTGACAGGAATGTGGTAATAACAGCAATTTTGTGGCTGTTCATAGCGAGATATGTAGAATATTGGAGGTACTGTCTTGTATCACACAACTTGTACTGTCTTGTATCACACACAACACAACACATTTACAGTCTCCGTGGTGTAGTGGTAAGACACTCGCCTGGCGTTCCGCGAGCGCTATGTCATGGGTTCGTATCCTGGCCGGGAAGGATTTACTGGGCGCAATTCCTTAACTGTAGCCTCTGTTTAACGCAACAGTAAAATGTGTACTTGGATGAAAAAACGATTCTTTGCGGCAGGGGATCGTATTCCAGGGACCATAGGATTAAGGACTTGCCCGAAACGCTACGCGTACTAGTGGCTGTACAAGAATGTAACAACTCTTGTATATATCTCAAAAAAAAAAAAAAAAAAAAAAAAAAAAAAAAAACTGCTGGCATCATCTGCTCGTATCATGTGGCTCCATACTGTGTTTTGATTTCATCACCCAATGAAGCCGGTCAGCCGAGCGGACAGCACGCTGGACTTGTGATCCTGTGGTCCTGGGTTCGATCCCAGGTGCCAGAGTTCAGAGTGAAAGGAACTCTGCCCAGAAACAATGGGCAGAGTTTCTTTCACCCTATGCTCCTGTTACCTAGCAGTAAATAGGTACAGGTACCTGGGTGTTAGTCAGCTGTCACGGGCTGCTTCCTGGGGGTGGAGGCCTGGTCGAAGACCGGGCCGCGGGGACACTAAAAGCCCCGAAATCATCTCAAGATAATCTCCCATACCCACCAGAACTGCCTATTACTTTGTTATAGTGTATATAAATGTTGATAGTGACATACAGTACAACACGTCTATGTAGCGTAATAACAGCAAAAACAGTTTGGTTGATCTAAGAATATAATATGTGTCACCATAAATGAGCCCCATATTTTTTAGAATATCGATGTTCCACACATTTAACTATATAAATTTCACAAATTACACACTACTGAATAATATTGCTGCAAAAAAACTAAATATAAAACCATTGACAGACACTGAAATAGTTATGTAAAAATATATTTAGGGAAGCCTCTGCCACACTCACTGTGAGGCGCTTGGCTGACCTCGGATTCCTGTCATGTGTATATAAACCCTCAACACACTATCTTTATGGTTCATTATCGTGCACAAAAACACAGCGTCGAATGTAATGAAACGCCATTTTCTGGGTGAGACCTGGAGGCTCCTCGGAGCTATCCAGGCTGATATGAATATACTGTATTAGACTTTGGCATCAGTCAGTGTGCATGGAGTTCTAGAGCTACCGGGGACAACGAGCCAGAACCTGGCCCCCTCAGAGAGGTACGAAGAGCAATAGCCAATAGAAACCCCCATGTGGTTGGAAGCATTCTATATCTGCCATCGACTGGGTCAGGCACCCAGAAAGGTAAGCACCCTAAAACAAACCCCTATTCTGGTTAACATTGCTACTGAAAGCCGAACTAGTGGACAGAACTCCTCAAATGAAAACTAGCAAACAAGCATGATGTCACCACGTCGCCGTGCCGCTGTCTGCGCACCCCCCTCCCTGGGTGGGGGCAGGGAAGTCTCAGACCCCCGTGCTGGCTACCCCACACCCCAGTTCCGAGGCTGGATGTCAAAACACGCGAAAACCTGCCAACCAAAGGGAGGGAGGGTGCCAGGGAGCCTCCGGGGCTCACTCAGAAAATGCCGTTTCATTATATTCAATGCTGGTTTTCTGTGGTGATCCCCATACGGCTCCCTGGAGTTACATAACCCAAAACAAGTAAAAAGAGGGACTTACCCCTGGAGGCAGCCGTCATGTGCTCCTCAACTCGAAGTCGAGACAACTGGCTGCAACCTGCTTCCCAAAGCTACACACAAACGAGCAGGACCAGGAATGTTGACCAAATAACGGGCAGCCAGGACCCTGTCAGACCTCCAAAATACCCGTGCTCGAATGTCAGTCCAAGACACGTTGCCAAAGACAGCAGCCAAAGCAGCAAACTTACGAACGTCATGGGCATGAGGATAGACCGCAGGCTGGATAGACTTAATAACCCTGCGGACGACCTGGGAGACCCAAGCCGTGGAACAGGGAACGAGGGAACCCAAATCAAATCAAAGCACGTTCCTGGCCACCGAAGCTGAGGCGCGCAGCGAAGAGTCGCGACCGGACACAACACATGATGCGCCTCTGTCCTGACCAACCAAGCACCAATGACCCAAGGGTGTCTTCGAAAAGCCGTCATCTCGTTCTTTGCTAGAAAAGGAGACGGCTGCAACTGAACAAACCGACTACTAGAACCGAAGGAGCAGAAACCCCTGTACCAGAGGAGAGCATGAAGCTCACCAACTCAACCCCCAGAGGCCAATACCAGCAGAAACAGAATTTTGGAAAAACAATCTTGAACAGAAGGGCCCACCACAAACCGACGAGGAGAGAAAAGAGAGCACCGCGTCCAAGGACCAGAATGACTCAGGCAATGCATGAGAAGGCCAGAGATAAAACAAAGCATGAGAAAGCTTACAGAACAAGGCAGAAGTGACATCCAACCCGAACGCAAGCTGAAGCGGCTCCACAAGCACTGTACGATATGAGGTGATATTATTTGTCATTAAATGACAGCCCTGAAAAAAGCCAAGAAAAAGGAACAAGACAACCCGATCAGTCAACGAAGTGAGGTGTGAGTAGCTGTCCGGGAATCACCCCTCTCCCTCCCGGGGAGGGAAGGGCTGTGCGGACAAGCGGCATGGCGGTGGTGTATGACGTTTGCTTGTTTCCTTAAGAGTTGGGGGAGTTCTGCCTTCCTGTTCAGTCTTCAGTTGTAATTTTCTTACCAAGTGGGATTTGTTTTGTTATGCCTACCTTTCTGGGTGCCTAACCCTGGATGATGGCAGACAAGAAATACCCCCAACCACAGGTGGGGTTTTCCAGAGGCCATTGCTTCCTGTACCTCTCTGCGGGGGGACAGGTTCTGGCTCGTGAGTCCCGGTAGGCTGAACTCCATTGACTAATGCCCTAGACTAATATATCGCATATCAGTCCGATAGCTCCAGAGAGCCGTAAGGGCTCCCCACAGAAAACCAGAGAAGAAACAATTGAGAGACATTTAATTAAGAAAAATTATATTTGCAGCAACTACCGCCCCACGAGGTGGTAGGGTCGAGTATGTCTGAGCGCCTACTCTCTCAGTGCAACCTGTCCTCTTACAAATTACGGCTAATTGGCCATTTGCCCGTTTGTCCGAATATGGACGTAATTTGAAAATGAAAAAAATTTGAAAATAAATTTTGATTTTTTTTTCCAAAACAGTAAGTTAAGGGTCCTCTGGTAGATTAGTTGGGCAGGAAATTCCCCTAAGTTTCAAAATGTCATGACAAATGTTAATTGAAAGTTTCCTCTCCTAACCTTTTCGAGTAAGCCAGAGGACTCAAACAGAAAATGGGACAGTACATCACTTTTGTGAACCGATTTCATTTAAAATTACGTCCATTTTTAGCCACAGCGCACATACGAGCGAAGAGACGTTATTTTTAAGGGGACGGGTTGCTCAGTGCCCATAAATTGCTCATCTTCTCAGCTCCATCATAGCTAAAGTATGTCACATACAATATTTTAGTTTAGCTTCCCATGATCAGACTGCATTTTAACAATAAAGAAGAGAAAATTTTTTTTAGGGAAATCATTTGTTTTGGCGTACCATGGGGGGTCATGGGGGGTGTCATATTATAATGCAGCGCAGTTAAGTGGTTAATCTCATCATCAATTTCAGTTTCAAATTGAAATGTCTTATATTCTATCATAATGCTGGATACCCCAGGAAAGAGGTAAAAAATGAAAGACCTAGAGATGACAAAAAAGAAAGAACAAACCTGCTGAACTTTGATTGCAATTGAAATCAGGTGTTCCTGTTTGTGATAACACTGAAGTTTCCAAGATAGGAGCTGGAGATCCTTGCACACTTTGTGGCAAATTTGGTGATAGCTGTTCCATCACAACTTGACCCTGTGAGCTGTGTGGCAAACTTGGTGGTCGCTCCTCCATGACAACTTGGCCTTGTGAACTGCATGGCAAACTTGGTGATCGTTGCTCCGTCACTACTTGACTAGGTGAACTATGTGGCAAACTTGGTGGTCGGTGATCCGTCAAAACTTGTCCTTGTGAACTGTATGACAAAACTGGGGGTCGGTGCTCCAATATTTGACTATGTGAACTATGTGGTAAGCTTCGTGGTCGCTGCTCTGTCACAACTTGACTCGTGGAACCATGAGTTAAACTGGGTGGTTGTTGCTCCATCACAACTTGACCCTGTAAACTGTGGGGTAAACTTGGTGCTTGCTGGTTTAGTGTGGTACTTCTTTGGATGCCACTTAGTGCATAGGATGCCTGCTGATTTATTTCAGTCTGATTATGGGAATTAAATGGCCAGCTTTGTGCTTGTTTGTTCAGTACAAAAGGCCCTTGATCTGCTTGTGGTTGCTTATTTACTAGTGCAGGCCTTTGTTCAGACTGTGTTGTGTTTGGCAGCTGGTGTTTTAATGTCATTTTTCTGTGCGCTTCTTGTAACAAATTTGATGTTCTCTGGGTCATGACCAGTTGCCCTTGAACACACTGGGAAAGACCTGGTGGCCTTTGTCCCTGTATTGTTTGTGACACATTATACAAGTGTTGGTTAGGAATTGAGTGCCCTTGTACAGTATTTCCTATTTGAGACTGTTGCTTGTCCATAACAAGTTGTCCTTTTGCACTGTATGTCATAGCTGGTTGCTGTTCGAGTCCAATATGTCCCTGTGTAGAGTACGGAGGGGGTGGTGGTCGTTTATCTGTAACATGCCTTGTATGGTTAATAACACCATAATTACGAGATGCAGAACCCTGCATGCTTAAATCTAAAGCATGTGTCCAAGTCCCTACATTTGGTGATGGTCTTATGCTGGATTGTGAGTAGCTCAATTGCAAGGCTGGATTTGAAGAAGTATCCGAAGTTGGTCCCATGAAGGATAGAGGTGGTGGCGGCATTATTCGAGCAGCTTTAACATTGCTATTCAAACCCCCTCCGCCCATAAAGGTAAGAGGTGGTGGTGGCGATGAACGGCCACTTGGTCTAGGAGGGTTCCAGCAGTCAGGTATATGTGCTGTTGGATATCTGCTGTATGCTGCAGGGATGCCTTGACTTAATGTCTCTCGAACCCTGCCTGTGTGGTCTACACTCAAAATTCTTGCCCCCAAGGGAGAATTTGTTGTCTGCACTAATGCTGTTGGTGGCACACCAGCTGATGAAGATACATGACCTTGAGGAATCATAGTGGGAGCATAAATCCTTCTTTGAAGGACAACTGGTTGGGTATGACCCTGTAATGAGGGTAAAGAAGCACTGCCATCTTGTGCACTAGGAATGGATTCAAGAAAATGGGACTGCCCTTGCCCAGTCTGAAGCTGTCCTGGAGCCATGAAAGTAGTTGAATAGATATGTCCTGAGGGCAAAGTGTTAGTAGTATACATCTGAGATTGAGATAATGCAATACCATGTGGAAGAGCAGGCTGAATAGATTTAGGATTATGCAAATGTCCTGATGTTGTATGGGCTTTCATAGTGGAGCGACTCTGTTTTACATGTGGTTTCACAGCTACATTATTCTCTATTCTGCTGCCATAAGAATCGAGCACCAGAGACCAACTAGGCGGAGGACGAAAGTTCCCCTTCAACCCAAACATTCCAGGATCCATCAAAATGTGACTTCCTTCTAGTGAATCCAAATCAGAGTTCCTTGATACTCTCTTTGCTAAACCTAAACCAATCCAAGCAAGGTGCCTTATTTGTCCACGACTTAATCTCTCATTACGAAACACCAGAAGTTGCTTTCTATTACAAGATATGATTCCATTACTAACTTTGTCACTTGTTCGTTCACCATCTCGCTTTGCAGTCTGACCAGAGCCATTGTTCAACACAGCGTTTTTGTGCTCCCCCATGAATTTAAGATTAGGTGGCGCCCCTTTTTGTGATTTACATTTTCCTGGATGAGGAGCCAAAGCTGCCCGAGTATAAACATCTGACGAAGAGGGAAAATTGTCTGGGGTCATTCCACTGGATGCTGGCCACAGCACTTGGTGAGCACTTAGAGGGCTTATAATAGGAAGACTGTGTTGTTCATTTACAGGTTCTTGAGATGGCTGATCAGAGACTGGTGCCGGCAATGGTGGGGGTTTCATTGGACGTAACCGCAGGTAACCTGATGAAAACCAATAATAGGTCAACAAAAATTTACAAATTTACAAAATTTACAAACCAGGGGACAGATTCATGAAGCAGTTACACAAGTACTTACGAACGTGAACATCTTTCCTCGAACTTTGACAGCTTTGTTTACAATTATTAAACAGTTATGAGCTTCGAAGCACCAGGAGGCTCTTTATAACAATAACAACAGTTGATTGAGAAGTTTTCATGCTTGTAAAGTGTTTAATAAATGTAGCCAAAGCCGTCAAAGATTGAGGAAAGATGTACATGTTCGTAAGTACTTGCGTATCTGCCTCGTGAATCTGGCCCCAGACCTATGGCCAGGTAGAGCTGGAAATGTTACTGTCTACACTTAAAATACACCAATGATTACCCTGCCTTAATATGATACTGGTAAATATGACACCAAAATAAACTGGACTAAGCTAACCCTAAGCTCTCGGCAGCTGCCGCCTTGCATGACCTGTTGGAGACATGTATAAACAAATAAACAATATAGAGGATAAGCAAATTCAAGAGTTTGAATACTTACGTTTAATGTCAAAATTCCTCAGCCTCCGCCGCAGCAAAATCCCTGACTTTATGCCTATACGGTACTTCTTTAGGAACTCCCTCTTAATGTGCCTGTGAGTGAGCCTCTCCACTCTCACAGATAAGGTTTTTAAGCAAACTGGAATATAAAGCATGTGGATTTAATACAATGGTAAAAAGAAGGCATAATCACCATGCTTCTAAAAGTGTATTAATAATTATAATAATTATAATAATAATAATAATAATAATAAATTGGCATCCACACTTCCGTGGAAATAAACATTTCATTCACCTGGGCTCTAGGAGACTTGAATCATGGACCCCATGCATGAGGCAGCAGCTACTGTATATCCATTTGGCTATAAGAAGTCTTAATAAGCAAAGCTTCCAGAAACAACTACTGCTGCTATGCTGGAATTTCACTGGAATGAAAACCCAGTGTGTAATAGTCACAAAGTAAAGTCCGGACCATCAACCGTGAAGAGCTGTCCCCCAGGGTACTGTGCTTGCTACATTCTCATACTGGACATAGACAAGGACACAAACTATAGTACCGTATCATCCTTTGCAGATGACACTAGGATTTTTATGAGAGTAGACAACAAAGAGGATACAGCAAACCTCCAACCTAATGTTGGAGGTTTGATGATGACCACTAAGTGCTTACAAGCCTTGTGGTCATCTGCAATAAGAGCCCTAGACAGCATGGGCAGCTGCATACAGGGCTGCCACTTGCCTGCTACTTGAATTGACAAAACTGACAAAGAAGAATTCTTGAAACTTGCAACTTCAAGAACAAGAGGTCATAGATTCAAGCTGAGGAAGCAACGCTGGCAAAAAAAAAAAAAAAAAAAAAAAAAAAGTTGCAGAGTAGTAGATGGTTAGAACAAGTTAAATGAGATGGCAGTGGGTGCCAAAATTGTCAGTAGTTTTAAAGCTTATATACTGGGAAAGTTTATACACTTTAGACAGAGTATATACTGGGAAAACGGGACATCATGAGTGTAGCTCTCATCCTGCAACTACACTTAAGTACTGTAAGAGCTCGTAAGTCCATACCCTGTTAACCCGGACCTTTGGGTAAGGTAGTAAGTACAAAAATAATAGTATAGATTAGTACAGGTGACCCCTTACATTACGTGGTAGTTATATTCCTTGAAAATTGCATGACATTTGAAAATGAACTACTATATAAACAGAATACCAAATAGAAACAATTGTCTATTTGTCTTGACAAATAGACAATTGACAATTGTCTTTGTCCAAAGCCCGAAACACGTGACCAATACCCCAAGCAGGAGCCTGGGGTCCAAAGTTAGACAAGACAGATGTGAAACCCAATTGTAAACAGCAGCAGCACTGGCAGACCTGCCAACAGCACACTTAAAGTGAAACGGAGAAGGGTAGGAGTGCCAGAGTCAAAGTTGATGTCCTTGACTGCCTCATGAATACCACACAAAAAGGCATACAAATGATAAGGAAGGGGGCTGGGGAAGGGCAGGGGAATGTGAAGAGTGAAAAAAGGAAGGCAGCCAACTAAAGCTGACCAATACTGGCAAGGGCAGGAACAGCTGACTAGGAGGGTAGAAAATATAGCAACCTCAGCAAATGGGCAATGCTATAAAACCTAAACTGGCAATATACACTTGAAACAGGAAAGGAAAGAACACTCCCTACCATCCCTTCCAAGGAACAGACACACAAAGATACCCAGAACCAGTGCCCCAACCTGCAAACAAAATGTGGAAACCCAAATGGGATCTTTGTACTGGAGCTGGCACAGGTGTCTGCTGCTGAAAACAGGCTGAAACACAAAGACCCTAGAACCATGAAACACAAGAAGACTGTCCAAGAACCAAGACCCTGGAATACATCCACAGGGTTGCAGAGGAATCCAGCACAGACTGACTATAGGCACCAAGAAGCAGCCGTATAAAGCAAGAAAAACATGGCCAGGTACCCACCCCTCATTGGGGAGACAAAGTACAACTGGAAGTCTCCTCAGGTAACCCGAAGTCATGTAATGATCCTTGACCTACTCTCTCTACTCTTTCCCTTCACTCAATACCCCAACTTAACCCTGTTACAGTTCAGTGTGACCCCTCACTGAACTGCCACGAATATAAGCTGAATATTAAATGAGGACACAACAAGAATAGGGGTTATTAATTTATAACAAATAATTAAAATCATCAAACACTGCCACCACCTTCCCTAACCATAAATTAATGTGTCTAAATTATTGTTTCCCCAGGAAGGAAGGCACTCAATAATCATGGAACTCAAAGGGGCAAATACTGAGTTATGTTCATATAGTTTTCTCAACTATATGGTGACAATGAAGTTCATTACATGTACCGTACTAGTGGCATGTCTTCATCTCTGGGCGGTGGCACATTGCAACTGTTATTCTGGGTGTCTATATTGTCACTCCATATGGTTCCATTTATCCTCTGTGGCATCACCCAGAACAGCACTCATCAATATTTTGTTCATACAACATTGAAACATACATAAATACATACACAGTGTAAGCCTAATACAGTGTAGATGACAAATTGGAAATTTGAGGTGCGTTTACTTGATGTACTAAAACTCGGACAGACATTACCTTAATCCTGCAACCTCGGCCAAGATGCTGAGTGGCTGCCCCCAGATCAGTAGACCTGTACCCCAGTACACCCCCAAGACACACTAACTCTCATATTTTCTAAAACTCTTACCAGTGAAACAGGCTACACCCACTTAGTTCCTAGGCCCAATTAACTCTGCCTATCAAAGCTCAACCAATGACTACAGTGTGTCACTCTTAGGCCAGCCAAAACTCTGACTTAGCCCCGCCCCCCTAGGCCTCCTTGGAAGCTGAGGCCTGTCCTGAAAGTTCGGTTTTACACCCATAGACTCATGAACCGATCCCACGCTACACAGGAAACCACAGCTGTATATGGCTCCCAGCTCCCTCACTCGAAACTTGAGAATTACGGTAATTCGTCACTGGTCTTGAAACTGTCAAATGGTTAGTGGCGAATGCAGGAGGAGAGGGGAACGGATTGGAAAGGACTGGGAGACAAATGATTTGGAGGGATTGGAGCCATAGGGATTGGGGAACAAGTGACTTGACCACCTTCCTAAGGGGTAATTTGACTCTGATTATGATGGGAAACGGCCAACAGGGAGGGGGAGAATGACCAGAGGGTTGGACAGACACATGGGAGGGATGAACAAGGCATGGGAGGCAAGCAAGGGGAGGGAAGAGGAAGGGGAAGGGGAAGGGGGAAGTGGGAAGGAGCTATGGTCTGCACATACCATTACAGTCACTGAGTCACCCCTTCTGGAGGGGAACGAAATGTCTAGGGATAGAGCCAACATCACCTCCAAATGCTCACAAGCCCATGAGAAGAGAGCAAGTGTTGACAGTGTAAGCCCCAAAACTAAGGATACAGCTCAAAGTATAATGTTCGACAAAGAAATTATGGTTATCTTGAGGTTATCTTGAGATGATTTCAGGGCTTAGTGTCCCCGCAGCCCGGTCCTCGACCAGGCCTCCACCCCCCAGGAAGCAGCCCGTGACAGTTGACTAACTCCCAGGTATCTATTTACTGCTAGGTAACAGGGGCATCAGGATGAAAGAAACTCTGCCCATTGTTTCTCTCTGGCGCCCGGGATCGAACCCGGGACCACAGGATCAGACGTCCAGTGTTCTATCCACTCAGCCACCGGCTCCCCATGCCGGTGATGAACATGGATAGAATATAAGGCTCTGTTGCCTCCATCAGCAACCCAGATGAAGCAACCTCTAAAGACACCCTCACCCCCCCCCCTCTCCCTGTTGAAGCATATAGACCACAGACCCAAAGCCATTACAAGACCCTACCCAATGGAGAAGGCTGAGGAGACAGAGTAGGGGGCACCAGAAGGAAAACAAGCAAATTTGACACAAGTGTACAAAAATAATAACACTGCCTCCATCTGGGTCCGCAAAAGGCTGCCAGACAGAATCGGAAGACCGGGTCCTGAAGTGCAGCTGAAACCTAGAAATTCAATAGCAGCACATACTGTACTATATACCTGAGGGCAAAAGAACCCTGTACTCAACAGGCAGAAAGACACAGACAACAAGAGTGACACTCGGCATCCAAGGACACCGATTCATACTCTGGAAAACTGCATACAGCAGTCACAGGCCAGAAGGTAGGCAAAACAATGCCCATTCATCAAGAACAGTTGCTGAGGAGGAGGAACCGAATGTCTAAATGCCAACAGATAAGCAGGAAAATTGGATGCAGGGAATGCATAATCAGCAAAGCATATCCAAAAGAGGATCTACTTCTGACCACAGCAACAACAGGGCATCTGGACAGTCTAGAGGTAAAGTTGGTCTGCCTCTGACCACAGCAACAACAGGGCATCTGGACAGTCTAGAGGTAAAGATGGTCTGCCTCTGACCACAGCAACAAAAGGGCATCTGGACAGTCTAATGGTAAAGATGGTCTGCCTCTGACCACAGCAACAACAGGGCATCTGGACAGTCTAGAGGTAAAGTTGGTCTGCCTCTGACCACAGCAACAACAGGGCATCTGGACAGTCAGGAAAAGGGAAGATCTTCCTGTACACTAAGAGCAAGTAATCTTTCTTGGCATACTGTATTTACATTTTCAACTGATACTTTGTTTTGAAAGTCTGCTTAATACTTAAAAGTTGGCCACTCAAAAGGCCTAATTTAACTTATATGAGGCACTGTACAAATGACTGACAATTTACTGTGTTTGGATACTTGATTCTTTAAAACACCTACACAGTACTGTACTGTCACTGGTCTACAGTATTCTGTTTGGAAGGATTTTCTCTACAATATTTTGACTGTTTAATACAGCCTTTTGTGGCACACTATAAGACAAGCATATGGTTTACTTATATAAATTGATAGCACTAATTTTATTTCAGTTTCTGATTACATTACCTACACTCATGCTTCCTTATTTTTGGTATATTACCTGCTGTTAAATCACATGGTTTGTAGCAATTCTCGATAAAGAGATCTTATCTTACCTCGACTAAAAACTTGATTGTGTTGTAGTGGAGTTAGAGAAGAATCCTTGTGAGGCCCAGTGAAGGGTACCAGTGAAGAGACTTTTACCATTGGAATTATGGGGCTCAAATGGGAGATTTCTGCTTCCATTGAAGAAGACGAGATGATGGTGCCATTTTTGCTATGTATAGACACCTTGGTTGCTGGAGTCAACAAGCTGCTAAGAATAACACTGTTGTTTGGAGCTTCTGAATTCAAGATAGTTAATGCCCTACTTGTCACACCAGCAGGTTGTGCAGATAATGTTCTGCTCTCATTTGTCTTGCCATCTGAATATTCAGCTTGGTATGTGTGTGTTGATCTCATATCAGATGCACCAGTGTGTAGATTTACATTTCTAAGAACAGAAATAGGCTTTTTCTTTTTCTTGGTTACTAGTTTTACTGGTTCTGAAAGGTTCTTCTTACCCTGCAAAGTCTTACCAGATAGACAATTCTTTTTAATTTGTCCCTTGGCCCCTTTTGAAGTTGTATATTTTTTCTTTTGATTCTTTGGAATTAAAGGGGACATATTGCTGCATGATCCATTAGATTCTGTGAAAGATTTGTTCATGACTGGTTTTTTAGATTTAGACTTTTTACCTAAATTTGCACTAGACTTTACTTGTCCTTTCTTGTGAGTTTTGCCTGGAAAGATGGAGTACATTAGGAATATAAATGTCATAATTGACTAAATATAAAAAATAAGTTATATAGTAATAACTAAAATTGTCTTAGCAGCAGTAGTTGTTATGTGCAAAGTTAATTTGGTAAACTACTGTATATATATACTACACATAACTGACAAATAATTAGAGCAATTAGAAGATTGTTAAATTTAGTTATTTTATACTCAGTGAAATATAAATCACATAATCCATTTTTGTCTTTTAATTTCAAAACATTGTTTAGGTTCGTTCAGCACAACAAATCTAAATCATTTTCTAATTCCAGGTCATATAATATTTCCAAACATGTGTAATCACAAAAGTACTAGGGAGACTAAGGGCTTGCATGTACATGGTAACAGGTAAACTCTCAATACTCTACCAAGTAACAGGGCTTGTGTGTAGACAGTGTACACTAAGACAGGTTAACACAGAACATTCTACCAAATAACGGTAAGTACATACACAAACTTTCAAGTACTGTACAGTATTAAAAGAATAAATATTAAAGTCTGAAATAATTAACCTGAAGAATAATTGCCACTTGTACATGATGTATAATGGAAATAACAAACAAAAATAATAAAATACAGTACTGAGTCAACCTGTCCTCTTACAAAGAACGTCACATTTTCATCGCATGCGTTACCCAAGGCCAAAAATTGTCGTATTTGAAAATGGAAGCGGTTCACAAAATTGACGTACTATCCCGTTTTCTGTTTTGGGTCCTCTGATAGGTTAGGAGAAGATACTTTAATTTGACAATTTTCTTGATTGTGGGAAACTTTAGGACGACGGGCTGAGTAATTGTTGTAATTGTTTATGTAATTTATTAAACTGAACAGAGAAACAGAACTCCTCAAATTTTAAAACAAGCAAAGACGCAAACATCACACCCCGCCGTCGCGCCGCTCGTCCATGCAGCACCCCTCCCCTCTCCCTGGATCCTCTGTGCCAGCTGCTCAACCATTCAGTTCTGAGGCTGAGCTTCAAAAACAATGCAAAACGCCGACCGGGAAGAGAGAGAGAGATAGGGTGCCGGGAGCCTCCGGGGCTCACCCAGAAAATGGCGTTTTAATACATTCAATGCTGGTTTTCTGTGGAGAGCCCCTATGGGTCCCTGGAGCTACCTAACCAAAGAAAAGGAACAAGAAGGACCTACCCGGGAGGCAGCTGCCATTCGCTCCTCAATGTGAAGCCTGCGACCCAAAGCGACACACGCCTGACTAGGACCAGGAACGTTGACCAGGTAATGGGCAGCCAGGACCCCTGTTCGACCTCAAAAATCCTAGCGCCCAAATATCAGCTCAAGACATGTTACCAAAAACAGCAGCCAAAGCAGCAAACTTATGAACATCATGGGCACGAGAATAGACCGCAGGCTGGCTGAACCGAATAACCCTGTGGATGACCTGGTCAACCCAAGCCCTGGAACAGGGACGAGGGAGACCTGGTCAACCCAAAGCGCATCCCCGGCCACAGAGGCCATGACGCACAGGTAATGGTAAAAAGCCACAACACATAATGCACCCCCGGCCTGACCAACCAAGCATCCAAGTTTTCCAGGGGCCCCTTAGGCTTACTGCTAAGGGAAGCCCAGACAAGGTACTGCTAACGGGTTAGGGCCAAACTACCAGAGAACTGCTGAAAACCGAACCCCCTGCGACGTGTGCAATCACGAGGGCCTAGCTGAGGAACACCGAAACAACAGAAGGTGGATCAGAACCAAGAGGGCACTTGGTTCAAGGGTCCAGCTTTCTCACCAGGCAAAAGAAACAAAAAGGAAAAGAAAACCCCGCCAAAGCACAACATCCCCAGAAGGAACAGAACTGGCCGCTGTATATAATGGGAGACAAGCTGCACAGTACCTTGCGCCCCTAACAGCAACAAATCCACCTCCTACCCGAGGCCAAATAGTGACTATGAACATCCCAGCTGGCCCCAAGGGTGGGCAATTGCCAAGCATCAAAAGACCCCTACGGAAACGGTTCCCGAACGCCCTCTTGAAGTTAATCCCAGAATGCAAGGGCAGTACTTACAGGGTGCTTAGGGAAGGTGGCCCTAAGCACATGCAGCCCCAGTACTGATCAATTACTCTTAGCCTGCACACCGCACCGCAGAAATACACAAGGCACAAAACTGCACTGAATCAGAGACCAGAGTCGACGACCGCCACAGTCAGACATCAGCCGAGAACTGAATGGTGGAGCAACTGGCGCGAAGGATCTGGGGCTCCCTTCTCCCTCCCTGGGGGTAGGGGTCGTAGGGGCTCGCTACAGAAAATTACACTAACATAAAAAAGGTAAACATTTCAAATTAAATTATAGGGGATAATCCAGTCAATTCTGAGGTAAAAAAAACTTACCAGCTGATGTAGGACTGTCATCTATACATGGTGGTGTAAATAGTCCACTCTGCTTTACACGAGAGATCACAGGAACATATTCAACTCTTGCAGGTGAACGTGGTGATTCTTGTCTACAACTCTGTGTTGGAAGCATTAAATCACCCGAAGAAGGTACTTTACCATGCTCATCTTTCAAAATGCTGGTATTTGTAATCACAGTCCTTGATATTATTAGGCTTGCACTAGTAGGTAACTCCTTTTCTGCACACTTCTTATATTTTGTACTATTCTGGGCAGTTCTTGTATCTTTCTCACTGGATTTATAGTTCGTTACTTTTAGTGCAATTGAAGATCCTTTTTTGGGGAGTTTCAACTTACCACTTGCTTTACTTTTACTGACTCTTAACTTTTTAACTGTTGATTTTATTGTACCATCCAAATGTTTCCGATTTTTTATATTTTTCTTGGATGAGACCTTCCGTGGTGTCTTAGATGTTGCATCACAATCTTGTCTGACAGAGTCCATAATATAGCGAACTGTAGAACTCTCACCAAGAACAGTATTGATGATGTCATTAATCTTGAATGAATCATTGTTTGTCACCCCCTGGAAATAAGATAACAATGATTATTGTTAGAACAAAAAATGCCCAGGAATATTTAGGAGCTAACATGGTAAATAAATAAGGAAGGTAATTATCAGGCAAAAGCCAGTATGACATAAGTGCACTTGAAAGAGATACGAGGACGGAGTGAAGGAACAATGCCCAACCACTTGGGCTATTGGGAAATGAATGCCAAACCTGCAAGAAGTGAGGTCAATGCTGCACTGACCAGTTTAAGTGCAGCACCTAAGTATACAGTACCTTTCTAACTGTTGCTGGTTCCAGGAATCAATGTCCATTCTTTGGACCAGGCCTTCTGGATGGTGGTCTGGTCAACAAGGCTCTTAAACAGAGTTATTCATGGTCTGACGTATGACTCTCAGCCCAGTTGATCAAGTATCTTTAGAACTGTTTATCAAGTTCTCTTTTAAATACCACGAGAAGTAGACTAGCTATGTCCCTTATGTTTACAAACACTGTTGAAAAGTCATAGTCCCTTAATGTCAATAGAATTGTCTCTTCGCATACATATTACACCACAGTTTTTCAATGGGGCTATTTTGAATTTCCTGCCATGTCTCCAGGTTTCACGAGGAGTTATTTCCATGTGCAGATTTGGAAACAGTACTTTTCTTGTGGATACCTTGTGGAGGTTCCAAGGATTAACATCCCTGCGGCTCGGTCTCTGACCAGGCCTCCTGGTTGGTCGTCTTGTCAACCAGGCTGTTGAACACGGCTACTCATAGCCTGACATATGAATCAAAGCCTGGTTGGATCAGGTATCCTTTGGAAGAGCTTATCGAGTTCTCTCGAACATCATGGCCGGCTAGTTAGGCCCCTTAAGTGTAGCGAGAGTGTTGAAAAGTCAGAGTTCTCTCTCAGCATACCTATTGCACCTCTGAATCTCAATGAGGACATTTTGAACATTCTGCCATGCCTACTGATTTCATATGTTATTTCCATGTGCAGATTCGGAACCAGACTTCCTAATATTTTCCATGTGTAAATTATTTTGCATCTTTCTTGCCTGTGCTCTAGAGAATACAGACACTAGAACTCTTTATCTAGAGGGGAAGGTAAGGGTGGGGAGGCCGAGAGGCGAGGAGAAGGTAAGGGTGGGGGAGGACAAGAGGAGAGGGGAAGGTAAGGGTGGGGGAGGACAAGAGGAGAGGGGAAGGTAAGGGTGGGGGAGGATGAGAGGAGAGGGGAAGGTAAGGGTGGGGAGGACGAGGGGAGGGGGAAGGGTGGGGAGGACGAGGGGAGGGGGAAGGGTGGGGAGGACGAGGGGAGGGGGAAGGATGGGGATAAATGGGGAGGGGGAGGGGGAAGGGTGGGGAGGACGAGGGGAGAGGGGGAAGGTAAGAGTGGGGAGGAAAGGGTGGGGAGGATGAGGGGAGAGGCGAGGAAAGGGTGGGGAGGATGAGGGGAAACGGGAAGGGACGGGGAGAGCACCCCTTGTACCTCCCCCCCCCCCCACCAGTATAATATAAAAATTCTAGCAAAATACAAACAGCTATAGGACAATCAATTATAGAAAATAATTGTTTATAAACCCGAAAACTGTCTCTTGCGTTTCACTGGTACATTGTTGGTGCGTCAGCAGTCTAAACATATCTGGCCACGGTTGACACAAGATACTCAGATCTGCTCTAAATATACAGTGACAACAGTAATAATCTACACACACAATGAAGCTACAATAACGTTATACATCTACGAGAACCTCTGTGGATGGGTGTGGAGTTAGATCTTCCTACACACCTCTACACCAGTGGGATCTTGCAATATTTAGATACTCCTCCACAATTGCAAATGTTAATTTATTTTTAGCCATGTGAATGTACAACATTATTCCTCTCTCATCCACTATGACAGTCATTATCATTTCATACTACAGCGTACTATACTCTATCTTATCTTTCACCAAATTAAAATAAATCTTCAATTAAAACTTCACCATGGCCACAATCTGTACTGTACTCCAAAAAGCCCAATCTCCACTTACAAATTGATGACAAATGTTCCACACTCCAGGTCCTGGTTTACAGATCCGAAAATATGACAAGCCACAGCCGGGTCATCATAAACAAAAATTCAGCTTAAACACTCCCGCAATACACAAACACAATACTGTGGCACCGCCAGACACCAAAATGCTGACAAAGAATGTTTTTTTCATCTTGTCACAAAGCACCTGGGGCCCTCGTGAGACCCCTAAGGATCCGCATACCCCAGTTTGGGACCCTTGTGTCAGAATACTGTTCAGCTTCACATGAACCAAATACATTACAATTTCTAATTTTAAAAGGATTTTTTTTTTCCTAGATCTCTACAAGTGTAACTATATCTGTTCAGACAGAACTTTAATCTGACATTACTTGCATGCAGGTAGATAGAAAAAGTCACTGTACATTCTAAATCTAAATTCCTAAAGCCAACAAATGAACTTCATGCATTTACTGAACTTACCAAAATGCAGGAAGATGAGGGAGTTGATTGATGTTGCGTGGAGTCACTGCTGTGCTTCCCTGATGCTGGTTGAGTACACGCCCCCGCCAAAGGTGATCCAGTTGAGGTTCCAGCGTTGCCAGCCATTGTTGATGATGCCACTGACTTAGCGGGTGCGCGTTTCTTTGAGCTTTTGGGTCCTGGACGCGAGGACTTGCATTTTGCAGCGTCGCCTTGTTTGGAAAAGTGTTTTGGGTCAGCTATGATTGGTGGCGTAGACATGATAGGAGCTGGGATACATATGGAGGTGGTCATTGGAGTACCTGATACAGCAGACAGATATGTAGAAGGAATAATATGAGGTGAAGGCGGCACTGCTGTTGACGAAACAGGAACTAAAGGTACACCAGCTTTTAAGAGAGATGCTAAACAGGAAGATGAAGAGACTGGTGGTGGAGCCATGATACCAGGTTCCATACCATTTGAATAAGACACTGATAAGGGTGCTCCCACAGATTTTGCAGCCACACTTGATGAGCGCGACGCCGGTAAGTCATGACTAGGTTCCACACTTGATTCAGAAACACTTGCAGAGTTACTTGACACTTTTGGTGACAAGATCCAGTAGTACTGCGCTGCTGGAACATTAGGTGTCGCAGATGGTACTGGTAATGATGGATTTGAATTTGATTTTACATGAGGACGATTTGTGGCTATGTGAGAAACTTGGGGAGGCACTTGCTGACCAAGGGTTTCAAAAGCAACTGATGCTGGAATAAGCACCATTGGTGAACCATTCAACCCAACAGAGGAAGATGAATTTGGTAAAATATTTGGCATGGACAAGCTTTTTGGTGATGAAAGACCAGAGTTGCTTATATTAGACGATTCCAAAGTTTTTTTACTACGGTTACTTGGTTTATATATAACATTTCCATCTGGATCCCTTAAACCATGTGGTATATAAATGGGACCAGAACCTGTCTGATCACGGGATGAAGAATTAATCCGAGGATGGTTTTCTGGTTGGTGGAGAGTTGACTTTTCAAAAGATTGTTCGTGTACTATTTTTGATGAGAGTAGATCACTGGATGACAAGAGAGGCTTTGGTTTATTAGGGTTTTTATTAGCAAAATTGCCTGTGATTGGAGGCAGTCGAATTAGGGGAGGAAGCTTAGGGGGTATTGGTAATTGTTCAGAGTCTGATGTTTTGGGATGTGTTACCAAAGAAGAATAAGAAACAACAGAGGACTGAACTGCTTCACATTTTGGTGTCAGAACGGGATAAGTAGGTAGAATTCTAGGCGGTGATGCTGCTGTGAGAGAAGGAACCGGTGCCTTTCCGGGTTGTGGTGTCTGGGAAGGAAGAGATGGCATATCTTCAGCTTTCACCACCAGAGAAGGTACATTGAACAATTTTCTAGGCTGATAATCTCCATTAGTAACTGCCTTCCCCGAATGTGAAACTGCAAATGCTGGAGTCTGTATCTTGCTCAGTGGCATCATTGCTGGGAGTGTAGGGTACTTGCCCATGGACGATTCTGAAGATGGTGACGACAGTATTTCTCTCTCTGGCATCATCAACGACCCATCGGCCGAATGACGTGGAGTATGCGGAGGGCGGTTTGGTAGTGAAGTTACAGAGGAGAGCCATGGCAGTGTCATTAAGGAAGGATGAGTGGCTGTTGCTTGATGTTGGTATGATAACACCGTTGATACTTGTGGGTCGAGTGGAGGCACTCTGGGGTCGGCCACAGAGGAAGAGGAATGTACGCCACAATGCTGCCAATCCTGGTATGGTAGGTGTAATCTTGCCTTTTTGGCTGGCAAGCACTTTCTTTCCTCTAGATCTGAAATACATCAAAACACACTCATAAGTAGGAAATACATAATGAATATAATGAAAATTAATATTATTACAGTACATTATACACACAAACAAGCTACACAAAATACTGTAATGCTTAATAACATGTGCTTACTGCAGGAACACAACCACCTTGGAATTTATGACCATAATATACACACACAAATAATGTATATATTTACCAACATTTTGCTCTAAAGGTATAATTTACACTAGACATTTTGGGTTGAACAATAAGTTCTCAAATAAAACAATGTCAAAAGTGTACCATTGTGAAAGGTTGGGCAACAAACATGCAAAAAATATGGAACCACCTACTTGCCAAGCCGTAAATGCCAAAACTCTGTTAAATTGTCAAGTACAACTGGAAAAGATCATCAAGGCAAATCGGGGGAACCTTTGACAAGCCGCAGGCTTCCTATCCTTGTAGAGGTAACTAATGTTAGTATCCCTCAGGTATATTTGATAGCCAGATGTGTATTAGTTGTAAATGGTTAGAGCAGTGGGGTGTTGCATGGTATGATAGCCTTGTAACCGGGCCAGCAGTAAAGTGAAAAAGTGTTTGGTACCCGACCAATCTGTTCTCTTTATAGCACGTCGCATTTTGACGTATACTTGACCTAGGGTCAAACACTCATTTACCCTAGAGAGCTCTTGTGTCTTCAAAAAGTACCATCATTGGTATGGCATCCCTTGTTTGGAAGGTACTTGTTATCCGACATGTCATTTTTCTTGCAGTCGTGACAGCTACTCTGTGTTTTCTAAAAATAAAGCCTTCCAACATGATTACTCATAGATCCTTTACATTGCTTTTTCGTTCTATAGTGTGATTTGATTCCGTTTAATATATGGTTTCCGTTTTTACATTTTCGTTTTTTCCATAGCGCAGGAACTGGAACTTATTTTGATTAGAAATATTATTATCTGAGGCCAATTGAAAGACCTGATTTACATCCAATTGGAGACTTTCCTTGTCCTCTATATTGTTTACTCACAAAGATCCTAGTGTCATCTACAAATAATGATACAGTACTATAGTTTGTACCCTTGTCTATGTCTGATATGATTATGAGAAACAGTACCGGACATGTACGGTACCTTGAGGGCAACCTGTCCTCGACTCAAGTCCATTACATCCAGCAGTCGACCCCATAGATGCATTCATAAATGTTTACATACTGTTCATTCAAAACGGGAATTTTCTCAAATATAAATTATTATAATATATTAGCATATTGTTCAAATATAGACATAGGTTATGTTAGGTTACGTATTTAGGTTCAGTTAGCGATTATTTGTATTTGTAGTACCTGGGTGAAGCATTTACAGCGTTGTGGTTTGAAACAAATTCATCATTGAAGCACTTGTTCCGGAAGTGTTCGAACGAAATCAGTTGTGAGTCATGTGTAAACCGTTTTTCATACATAAACGGGGTTTTGGTGGGTGTATGGAATCGGTTTTGGGTCTTTGTTTGGAAGACGGGCTGTTGTGGGACTGTGATTTTCATTGTAGATGATCCTGATTTTACTGTATTTACTGTATTTTACTTTATTACACTCTGCGTTCTATTCATTAGAAAGTTGAAGATCCATCTCCATACTTTGCCAGTAATTCCTTTTGTGCACAGCATCATCATGGTTACATATGTCAAAAGCTATGTATATTACATCTACATTTTGCTTATCTTCCATGGCACCAAAGGCCGTCATAGTGATCCAGCAATTATGAGGGGCAGGAGCGCCCTGTTTTGAACCCATGCTGTCCCTGGTTATGTAGATTTTGTGATTCTATGTGATTTATAATCTTACTTCTTAGCACTCTTTCAAAGTTTTTTTATGATGGGTGATTTTAGAGCTATTGGTCTATAATTTTTTGTGTCTGCTTTACTACCTCCTTTGTGAAGTGGCATGATCTCCGCTGTTTTAATTATGTTAGGGATGACATTAGTATTTAGGCTCTGTCTCGAAAAGATATTTAGGGCCTGTGATAGTGATGTTTTGCACTTCTTGATGAATTTATAATTCTAAGAGTCTGGGCCTGGTGCAGAGTACATGGGCATTCTATCAATGGCTACTTCAAAGTTCAATGGGGTTGGGGTGACATCTGATACATGGTTCGATTTTGGTGTCACATACATGAAGAATTCATTTGGATCATTCATCTTCAATGTGTTCAGGGGTTCATTGAAAACAGAATCGTACTGAAGCCTCAGTATTTCACTCAGTTCTTTGATGTCACCTGTGAGAATTTCATCACCTTTCCATAAGGTCCCAATGCTGGATGCAGTTTTTTGTTCTTGTTTTTACATACTAGAAAATGTATTTTGGGTTCCTCTCTATTTTACTTATGGCCATTTGCTCTCTTGGATTTTATATGATTCTTTCAGCTTCAGCTCGATCATTTATATTTCCCTACATAGCCTTTCGCGTTGTTGTTGGGATAGAGTGGAGCGTTTGAGATGTTTTGCTATTTGTTTTTCTTCGCCTATAGAGGGAGATGTAGTTGCAATGGCGATGCAAACTGCTCCGTTCCCGTTCAAGTTTGCACCTTTTTCTTCATAGCAGTATATGCCTTGTATATATTTCTAGTGCTACCGAGCCTACTTTCTCGAAAAACTGGTTCAAATTTGCATTTTCTAATTGTTTTCCCAGCATTGTTCTGAGAGATCTTGGTTTATTCGTTCCCAGTTAATCAGCTTTGTAGCGAGTACAAACAATATACTCACTACAGTCTCGCATTAGCTTAATGGCATAACTAATTGGCACTAATTACACAAGCTATACTCCTATCCCTATTTACAGGTAACATTCTTCCCATCCTGGTTGGAGGAAACCGAGGTGTAGACACCGAATATAAGCAAGCAAAAAGTGAATAGCCGACAGTACAATTTCCACAGTGATTCAGATAACTCCAGTACAGACACTCGGGATTTACCTCACCTCTTCAACCTCAAGACTGTAGCACTTGGCATGTACAGTTCTAATCGACCCCAAGACGCTACAAGCTTCGACACAGAGCAGACAGCAGACTACGACCGCATCAAGCTACAATGCTCTCGCTCCCCGTGAGTTTAGACACTCACGATTCCCCATCGAGCCGCCACGCTCTCCCGCATAGAGCTCTGCGACTCCGGCCTCACTCAGCTCTCTGTTCTGCTCCAAGCTTCGTCTGAACGTCTATGACAATGCCAACAACCGACTAATGTAAACAAGACTACTAAATAAATATGTAACTCACTGAACACTGTGTATCTAATCTACTCAATAACGTAACATAATCGTACGTTACAGTTTGTTATTAAAATTTAATTTACTAAATTCTCCTCCTGTGTGATTTGAGATTGGCTGAACAGGTCTATTGCCTATGCTCGTCTAAACTTCGAATAGGTTGTGATATTAGTAACAAGTAGTTGTGATCATTATGTCCCAAATCAGCTCATCATCGTTTGTCAAAATAAGGTCTAGGGTGTTTTCTTGCCTAATTGATTCTACTATTTGCTGGTTTAAAGCAAATCTGTCACATATCTGCAAGAGGTCGTGTGTGTGACTGTTCATTCAAACTGCTTCCTGGATTTTCTCCGCTATAACAATATTTGCCACATTTGTCATTTTAGATGCCTTAAGTTTAAATAACCAAGCAAGTTGATGTTGGGGCAGGGTTTGTGAGGGTTTTCTAAGCAATATTCCATTTTCATAAGTTGTATTTAAAATGCTGAGGATTTGCATCTGGTGATTTATATACAAGAACAATCACCATATTTTAGAATTTATATTTTGATTATCAGCACTTCTACCACAACGTTTATGGTGTTTAACAATTCAGTTCCCATCTTGGTGACACTAAACCACTTCTCCACAATTTGAGGAAAATCCAGGAAGTTCGTGAGTGGCCTGATATACTGTAGTGTATCGTCAGAAGTAACAGCAGCACGAGAGGGTGCCCACTTTGCTTGTCTTGGTTGGGTTTTTATTGTTTACCATTAGTTACAGATTGGGAGCCCTGTCCGGAAGCGTTTAATTCATTAAACATTGGTGACAATTGGAGGGTCCGTCCGGGAGAAATTGGAGGGGGCCGTTTATAGTAACATATTGGTAACAACTGGGGGCTCTGTCTGGGAGGTCCTCCTCATTTAACAAGTGGTAACACCACTATCATTACTCACTGTACATGTCTTTAATCACTACAAACCTTACTTTCTTTACTCACAACCCGCCTGAGTGCCTTTCGCCCAACCACTTGGGCTGGACAGTAGAGTGACGGTCTTGCTTCATGCAGGTTGGCGTTCAATCCCTGACCGTCCAAGTGGTTGGACAACATCCCCCCCCCTGTCCCATCCCAAATCTTTACCCTTATAGCTATTCAAAGTGGTATAAAGTCGTAATGGCTTGGTGCTTTCTCCTGATAATTCCCTTTCCTGGCTGTCTTTATTAGGCAGCTGACCTTCTGTACTCATTAGAAGCTTCGCCTTGCCCCTGACCTGCTGAGACAGTCTACCCCACTGTACTGACCTTAACCCTGAGTCTGTCAGGGTTAGTGTTATGGACCTTAACGCTCAGACTGTGAGGGTTAGTGTTATGGACCTTAACGCTCAGACTGTGAGGGTTAGTGTTATGGACCTTAACGCTCAGACTGTGAGGGTTAGTGTTATGGACCTTAACGCTCAGACTGTGAGGGTTAGTGTTATGGACCTTAACGCTCAGACTGTGAGGGTTAGTGTTATGGACCTTAACTCTCAGACTGTGAGAGTTAGTGTTATGGACCTTAACTCTCAGACTGTGAGAGTTAGTGTTATGGACCTTAACTCTCAGACTGTGAGAGTTAGTGTTATGGACCTTAACGCTCAGACTGTGAGGGTTAGTGTTATGGACCTTAACTCTCAGACTGTGAGTGTTATGGACCTTAACTCAAAGACTGTGAGGGTTAGTGTTATGGACCTTAACTCAAAGACTGTGAGAGTTAGTGTTATAGACCTTAACGCTCAGACTGTGAGGATTAGTGTTATGGACCTTAACTCAAAGACTGTGAGGGTTAGTGTTATGGACCTTAACTCAAAGACTGTGAGGGTTAGTGTTATGGACCTTAACGCTCAGACTGTGAGGGTTAGTGTTATAGACCTTAACGCTCAGACTGTGAGAGTTAGTGTTATAGACCTTAACGCTCAGACTGTGAGGGTTAGTGTTATGGACCTTAACTCTCAGACTGTGAGGGTTAGTGTTATGGACCTTAACTCAAAGACTGTGAGAGTTAGTGTTATGGACCTTAACTCTCAGACTGTGAGGGTTAGTGTTATGGACCTTAACGCTCAGACTGTGAGGGTTAGTGTTATGGACCTTAACGCTCAGACTGTGAGATTTAGTGTTATGGACCTTAACTCTCAGACTGTGAGGGTTAGTGTTATGGACCTTAACTCTCAGACTGTGAGGGTTAGTGTTATGGACCTTAACGCTCAGACTGAGGGTTAGTGTTATGGACCTTAACGCTCAGACTGTGAGATTTAGTGTTATGGACCTTAACGCTCAGACTGTGAGAGTTAGTGTTATGGACCTTAACTCTCAGACTGTGAGAGTTAGTGTTATGGACCTTAACTCTCAGACTGTGAGTGTTAGTGTTATGGACCTTAACGCTCAGACTGTGAAGGTTAGTGTTATGGATCTTAACTCTCAGTCTGTGAGAGTTAGTGTTATGAACCTTAACTCTCAGACTGTGAGATCCGTCACCAGACAAAACCAATTATGTTGAGTGTGTGGCATCCATAAGCACTTAGAGGAGACAATAAAGACTGACGTTCAGGGTGTGGGTACTGGAAACCAGCTACACCTCTCACCTCATTTAATCAAATCTAAGAGAAAAAGTTATTAATATACAGTCTGTCTTATATTCGAGTCCTCCCCCAAAAGCCCTTTATATGACAATGAAAAGAAGAGAAGGCAAATATTTTATATAAATATTTACTTCAACAAAGGCAAAGATTTTAAAGGAAATGCAGTAGTGTATATTTATCAACGGAAGCTAGAACTCTATACTATGGCAACGGGAGGCCTGGTCGACGACCGGGCCGCGGGGACGCTAAGCCCCGGAAGCACCTCAAGGTAACGGTGATTTTTGTCCGAGTTTTAATATTTTAGTCTATAATTTCGCAGAAAAACTCGTGCAATTATTTGTTTTTATTTCATTTTATAAGAGAGTATATATGAGGGAGTTCTGTCTATTAATTACAAAAGTGAAGGTTCAACTCTCCAATATATTCTATATTTTGTTTCAGCCTTGCGGACTTGTCTGGAGCATATATGGAGCAGCTCGTCCTCCACAAATGGGAAGGTAAATGTAACAGCACAAATGAGTGCAATTATGTACTACTGTATTCATAGCAGTCAGGAATTGTACTTATTTCCACTTAGTATTAAATCGTACTGTCAAATATATTGTGAATATTTGAGTTTACCTGAAAAGCTGAATAGAAAACCACGACCTCACCTAACCGTCTTAGAGTTTGAAGATAAGCATTTTATTGCTTCTTAATTACAATTAGTACTTAACCTATAGCTATATTGATATTACAGTTTTATAAAAATAATAAAACAAAACTAAAATATATCAATAAATTGTAAAGTTGCACCAGTTGCATACCAGTTGCGTTGCTCCTGGCAGTATGGGTTCGAGTCACTTCTGGGGTGTGAGTTTTCAGTTGCATATAGTCCTGGGGACCATTCAGGCTTGTTCGCATTTGTGTTCCTCACGTGTGCCCCAAAGAATGAGGTGATTTGATAAAATGCTATGCTTAAGATTACCATCCGAGTGCCGGCGGGGAAGTGGTTCAAATAGCTTCGGCTATCACTTCCTTTTGTCCGGTCGTGATGGTCAAGCGGATTAAGGTGTCCTGTATATATCAGTTGCATTGCTCCTTGCAGTATGGGTTCGAGTCACTTCTGGGGTGTGAGTTTTCAGTTGCATATAGTCCTGGGGATCATTCAGGCTTGTTCGCATATATTATATATATATATATATATATATATATATATATATATATATATATATATATATATATATATATATATATATATATATATATATATATATATTTCATACCTTTTTCGTCTCCTTTCCAGAGAGTACATTTTGAGAGCTTGCAGACGGTCCCAATAATTTAGATGATTTATCGTTTCTTTGCGTGCCGTATAGGTTCTCCGTATTCCCTCTAATTCAGAGATCTCTCCCGCTCTGAAAGGAGAAGCGAGTACCGAACAATACTCAAGACGGGACAGCACCAGTGATATAAGAAGTATTAGTATTGCTGTGGGTCTCTGGATTTGAACGTTCTCTTAATCCATCATTTTCCTGGCCGCCGCTATATTTGCTCGGTTATGTTCACTAAATAGATCGTCAGACATCACAATTCCCAGAACTTTTACATGGTGCTTTTCTTCTATGAGTAAGTGCGATTGTGTCCTGTGTTTCGTTAAGTTTCTCGTTTCCACCATACCTAAGTACCTGGAACTTATTATAAACATGTTGAACATCATGTTATTTTCAGTTTCCCAATGGAAGACTATTACTATGTGCGTGTATGTAGAGGATGAGTCACAATAAGGTGGTGATGGTCGCCTCATCTTCTGGTGTGGAGTTTGGTCATCATCTGCCTCCAGTTTTTCTGTGTCTTCTACACAGGCAATTTCCATGCTGAATTTTGTATAATTGAATTTGCAAAGAAATCTCCTTCTTTAAGTTTCCTGCCAACTTTACCTCCCTGAAAATGCTAGCAAACCTGCAAAGAAATACAATTACGGTAATATGAATAGTTTCTAAACCATTACATTGTCTGCCCAACAATAAAAAAGACCAAGAATAATTTTCAATGTCATTTACTAGCAAGTCAAACATGCAAATCTTCTCATGCTGGTAATGTTATACTGGCCAAAACTCCTTCATAACGATGTGAAATATAAAACAAAAGTTATTTAAAGTGTGTGCATGTATATTTCGATGCTTTTATGGATACAATTACTGAGTGTGTTTCCTTGTGGGGTCACACATGTCACCCAGCGTGTGACCCCACACACCGGGTGACGTGTGTGTGGGGGTCACCCAGCGTGTGACCCCACACACCGGGTGACGTGTGTGGGGGGGTCACCCAGCGTGTGACCCCACACACCGGGTGACGTGTGTGTGGGGGTCACCCAGCGTGTGACCCCACACACCGGGTGACGTGTGGGGGGGGGGGGGTCACCCAGCGTGTGACCCCACACACCGGGTGACGTGTGGGGGGGGGGGGTCACCCAGCGTGTGACCCCACACACCGGGTGACGTGTGTGGGGGGGGGTCACCCAGCGTGTGACCCCACACACCGGGTGACGTGTGGGGGGGGGTGGTCACCCAGCGTGTGACCCCACACACCGGGTGACGTGTGGGGGGGTGGTCACCCAGCGTGTGACCCCACACACCGGGTGACGTGTGTGGGGGGGGTCACCCAGCGTGTGACCCCACACACCGGGTGACGTGTGGGGGGGGTGGTCACCCAGCGTGTGACCCCACACACCGGGTGACGTGTGTGTGGGGGGGGGGGTCACCCAGCGTGTGACCCCACACACCGGGTGACGTGTGTGGGGGGGGGGGTCACCCAGCGTGTGACCCCACACACCGGGTGACGTGTGTGTGGGGGGGGGGTCACCCAGCGTGTGACCCCACACACCGGGTGACGTGTGTGGGGGGGGGTCACCCAGCGTGTGACCCCACACACCGGGTGACGTGTGTGGGGGGGGGGGTCACCCAGCGTGTGACCCCACACACCGGGTGACGTGTGTGTGTGTGTGGGGGGGGTCACCCAGCGTGTGACCCCACACACCGGGTGACGTGTGTGTGTGTGTGTGTGTGGGGGGGGGGTCACCCAGCGTGTGACCCCACACACCGGGTGACGTGTGGGGGGGGTCACACGCTGATGACGTGTGTGGGGGGGGGTCACCCAGCGTGTGACCCCACACACCGGGTGACGTGTGTGGGGTCGGGGGTCGGCGGGCAGCTCCACGCTACAAGAGTAGGTACTGTGACCGACGCCACCTTACAGGGAGGAGCAACGCCCACACTCAACACCAAGTTATAAGGTCCATGCAGCATGCACCTTACCTTTCGATGATTTCGGGGCTCAACGTCCCCGCGGCCCGGTCCTGTAGCTGTACCATTACAGTTATTCTACGAACCCTGAGCATTCATGCAATAACCAGTTCACCTTTGCCTCGTAATGCTATCAATGTAAAAGCATTGAATAAAGAAGCTAGTGACTTACGTTTGTGAGAGAGTGGGGACTTGTGGGTGAATAAGTGAGAACAACGAGTGCAGTGCCACTCTGCCAGCGCCTGTACCTCTTCTTCACCAACATTCATACACTGAGGGTGAAACCATTTCTTACAACAGTCACACTGGACCATCATCCTTGACTTATCATTTGGCTGCCGACACACACAGTAGAGTCTCTGCCCTTTCATTTCAGCCACTTTGTTCTTTTTCGAAGCCACCCTATCTGTCAACAGAAATATTCGATAACACAAGAAAATGCACATTAGAAAGGGACATAACAGACACATATACAACCAAATATTTGCAACACGTGATCGACTTCCTCCGACACAACTCTGATATGACAACAGCATGTTAACGCAACAAAGTAACGCACGGATGGAAGAAAGCATTACCTTCTCTTGTAAGCTGAATTCATCACCTCACATATTACACCCACTAGATTCCATCTAGAATCATGCTTTAAATAGGAGTTAGTCCAAGCAGTCCAAGCAGAAAGAGCAATATGCTACACCTAGACATGCAGAAGACATTGTTGTGGTGTTAGGTAATGTAAGGAAATATTCCAAGTTGAGAGTGAGGCACCAGTGTTGTCGAGGGAGAGGATGCGCGCGCACCCATCTTCAAGAAGGGAGAGCTTTTGTACAAGTTGAGACTTTTACACGTCTTCAAACTTGATTCTTATAAGTGATTCTTCATCATCCTTAATTGCGATCAACTCTTAAGACACAAATGTAACATGCTCGTGTCTCAAGCTACACACAAATACAACAAAACTATAGTGATGATGGTAACCGAGTCCTGGTTGATACCTGGTTGATGGGGTTCTGGGAGTTTTTCTACTCCCCAAGCCCGGCCCGAGGCCCACATACCCACCACAGCCCGGTTGGTCCGGCACTCCTTGAAGAAAACTATCTAGTTTCCTCTTGAAGATGTTCACGGTTGTTCCGGCAATATTTCTTATGCTCGCTGGGAGGATGTTGAACAACCGCGGACCTCTGATGTTAACACCATCACATCACAAGACCATCACATGTTGGTTTTGGAACACATGATAAAGCCGAAGAATCTGTCTTCTAAGACGGAGTTGACTATAACTTTGAAGTGCCTATATGCAGTCTGAGAACAAAAATACACCAAGAACTTCAACAAAACCTTGTAGATATGAGGCAAAGTGAAATCGACAATAGTAATTCCATCTATCATCGTGCAAGAAGAGCCACATATATATGGATCATTCAATACCATCAGCAGACTCCTAGATGTTACTACTGCTCGACTTAGACTCCGTTATAAGTATCTCTGGTAATGTTCATTATCTGCTGATGTAGACCTGACCAAATGTTAACTGTGTCAACAAAATTATTGGCACACCTTCCGTCACTATGTGATGGAGTGCGAAAACATGCGTGAATTCAGAGACAATTCTATAACAAATGTTCAAGAAATGTGTAAATATCTCAGAGTGATTTATTACGAAAACTTTTATCCAAATATCCCCATTTTGCTAACAGTAGGTAGCATATGTGGGTGACTGTAACTTATCCACCGCTGGGTGGGTGGGGGTGGGGGTGTGTGGGTGCAGGATAAACATATCAATAATGACACTATAGCTCTCCACACATGTCAGTTGCTTAGCCTGGAGACCGTACTTGTGGTTGGTCTAGAACTCATTGTTGCTAAACTATTACAGTATACATTCAACTGTGATGTGTAACCCTTACTCTCCAATACCATATGGCATTTCCTCAAAATCTAAAGTACTAACAATCACAGCGGCTCGCAAAATTGACGAGCTGTCCCATTTTCTAAACATTGTTAGGTTAGGTTCGGGTAACGCTCGAGGGTCTGGGCTGAGATGGGCCTTTGTAACCTTTTGCCCACAAGATGGGTATGGGGGTCCACTACCGCCCACATCATGGGTATGGGGTCCACTACCGCCCACAGCATGGGTATGGGGGGTCCACTACCGCCCACAGCATGGGTATGGGGGGTCCACTACCGCCCACAGCATGGGTATGGGGGGTCCACTACCGCCCACAGCATGGGTATGGGGTCCACTACCGCCCACAGCATGGGTATCCACTACCGCCCACAGCATGGGTATGGGGGGTCCACTACCGCCCACAGCATGGGTATGGGGTCCACTACCGCCCACAGCATGGGTATCCACTACCGCCTACAGCATGGGTATGGGAGCGTATAATAAATGAAGTAAACTAGCCCAGCACACAGCTTGCCAGAGTGACAATATTGTTAATGGTGGTCAGCAGTAGCAAGAGCGAGTGGGATCCATGTACTGGGAGGTGAAGCGACTGCTCTCTCAGACCGTGTAGTTGAACCAGTGACAAGGCCAGAACATTGGAGCCAAGAGGTTCCTCCACCTCCGGCCACACATCCTGCTCTGCAAACTGTCATACAATGGGAGTATCTTCAGGAGGTGTGTAGGGTAGCAGGTAGAGGTCGGGAAGGAGGAGGTGTAATGAAGAGTGCAGGAGGACGACACGTGCCGCCACCACAGGAGACAGCCTGCTCATGTTCACCCAGTGAGCTCCTGCTCGATTTCAGTTAAAGTTGAGCTGCTCAGAGTGTGGCCAACTTTCACAAGCTTGCAGGTGTAGCAGCATCCAGCAGACTGTCGACGGAACCCTGATATTGTACATTGTATTACACGTCAACCAACACAAAGAATAGTCATAAGGAGCGACCAAATAAGGCATCTTCGTGCCAGGAGAGACCAGATTTGTCTACAGAATGAGTCAGGCTCCCAAGTATCAATTATGAGACTTTTCAAGACGTTAGTGCTCTCTAGAGTGGAATACTGTTGCACAATGATAGCCCCTTTTAAAGCTGGAAAAATTGCTGACCTGGAGAGCGTGCAGAGATCCTGTATTGCTAGAATCCACTCAGTAAAACATCTAAATTATTGGGACCTATTAAAATGCTTAAATCTATATTCTCTAGAACGCAGGCGGGAGAGATACATAATAATTTGCTCATAGAAAACATTAGAGGGGCTGGTTCAAAATCTGCGCACAGAAATAACATCATATGAAGGCGATGGGTCACAATAACGTGGCTGAAGTATGAGAATGATCCAGGACGGACCGAAACGTCGTCGTCCCTTCAACTTCTAGTGTGTGGTCTGGTCAACAACATCATATGAGGCCATAAAGGATGGCAAGATCAGCATAATACCCAGTGAAAAATAGAGGTGCAATAGTTACACTGAGAGAACTCTCAACATCAGACGCCCGAAACTGTTCAACATGAGGAAAACAACAATGAAAGAACAGGTGATGAAACTGAGAAAGGGAGAATATGGGTACACAGAAACTGACAAAGAGGTGTGTGAAGAACAACAAGAGATTCCAGGAGGTGTTCACAATAGAGCAAGGAGAAGTCCCTGAACTAAGGAGTGGCGATAAACCAAGCAGCTTTGGAAGATATTTAAATTATCAGAGATGAAGTTAGGAGGTATCTGCTAGATACCTGGTATCTGGTAAAGAGAATTACATTGACATAGTTTTTTTAAATAAAACTCAGTGATTGACTAAATAAATACTTTGTAGTAACTTGTTGAGAATTAGTAATGTTGCTATTGATAATACATAACAATGATCTACTTACTGAATGACAGAAACAATCGTACATTTGATTTTAAAGAAACATAGAACATGTAAGAGAGTGAAGAACACAGTGAACATGCGGAGAACATGAATTGATCTTACAGAGAACAAGAAAACACGAAAAGAATGTATATAGAGTATACGAAAAATGAACAATGAACTTGTTAAGAACATTCTGAGAACATGACAAAGGACACAGAGAACATGGAAGAGAATGAAAAGAACACGGAGAAACAGGTGAAAAATATGAATTGAACTTGCAGAGAATATGCGAGGTACACGAAGAATGATCACAGAACTTGTGAAAAACATGCTAAGAACATTTGCAGAACATGGAGAGCACGGAGAAACAGGCGAAAATATGGAATGGACATTTGGGAGCACATTTTAAGAACACGGGGAAAACGTATAAATTTAGTAAAATTATTGGTAATTGCTCAAATTTAATTTCTTGAGGGTGCAGAGTTGTGAATGAATCTGGTGGGGGGGGGGGGGGAGTTGGGGAATGGGGGGGGGGGAGGGGGAGTACGGGGGTGAAGGAAGGGATTGTTTACAGAGAGTTAGTGGAATGGGGAGAGGTTGTACAGGGAAGGAGGTGGGGGTAAGAGGGAGGGAGGTATGGAAAGTCAGGTGTGGAAGGGGGGAAGTATGGAAAGAGTCAGGTGTGGAGGAGGGAGACATGGGGGTAAGGGGGGCAGGGAGGAGGTTATCTTGAGGTTATCTTGAGATGATTTCGGGTTTTTTTTAGTGTCCCCGCGGCCCGGTCGTCGACCAGACCTCCACCCCCAGGAAGCAGCCTGTGACAGCTGACTAACACCCAGGTACCTATTTTACTGCTAGGTAACAGGAGCATAGGGAGGGAGGGAGGGGGAGATAAGGTGTTTTATGAACGTGTGAAAATTACCTGGTGAATGATTATTTATACAGTTGGGACACAAGAGTACTGGATAAGAGGATATGTTTACTTTAATAAGGTGATAGGGAGGGAGGGAGCGGGTCTCATGTTCTGGAATAACTAAGTTTGATGAACATTGAACTAAGACAGAGGACAGGAGTTAGTGCAACTATCTTGATCTGATTTACTGTGTCAGAAATAGCTACGTTTTAAATTTTGCTGGGGTTTGAACTGATAATAACAAACTTATGGGAGCAAACTAAGGCGGAGGACAGGAGCTGAAACTCTGTAACTGTGTTCGTATTATTTACTACATCTGAAATAACTATGTTTTAAATTTCACGGGATTTGGGTAGATACTAACGGAGTTGTACGAATGAAGTAAGGCGGACAGGAGATGGATCTTGGGAACGGCTTTCATTTATTTTAATACGTCCGAAATACAGCGACTTTAAATTTCAGGAGAATTTGATAGATACTAACGAAGTTACACGAGTAAAGTAAGGTGGGGGGCAAGAGCTGGAGCTTGGTTACAGTCTTGATCTGATTTGCTGCATTCGAAATAACTGTTTTAAATCTCGAGGAAATTTATCAGATAATAGCGGAGTTGTACGAATGAACTAAGGCGGTGGACAAGAGCTGAAACTCAGTAACTGCCTTGATTTGATTTACCATGTCTGAAATACAGATATTTTACAT